TATGTGAAACTTGACATACTTAGTCGAGACAGGCTCCATCGCTGTGACACGGCGGGATTTTATACGTTCCCATAGAAATGTAGAGTGACCGAATCGAAAGGGAACGCTCTCGGTTACTCACGTAACCTCGGTTCCCTGAGATGAGGGAACGAGACATTGCTCTTATTGCCGTGTCACCTAGCTCAGGATCTTAGAATGCCAAGTTGCTTCAGTCAAGATTCTGAATAGATGACATACAAGCGCTGCTTTATATAGAGTGGGAGCCCCTCATATTTCACGCGCTTGAACGCCATTGGCCAGTTTCACTGGCGTGATTCAGTAAGGCTTCAGTAGTATTTGGAGAAAAGGGTAATTCCCATAGCAATGTCTCGTTCCCTCATCTCAGGGAACCGAGGTTACATGTGAGTAACCAAGAGCGTTTTTGCTTTTCAGATAAAAGGATAGTTTCAATTTAATATGTTGCGGGCTCATTTATTGGTAATAAATAATTGATAATAAATAATATTGATAATAAATTATCAAAAAATTTTGGGCTTGTTTTTGAAGCTGCGGTTGCTTGTTTGTCTCGCGAGAGTTGGCAACAGTGCTGATTTTATCCACAATCTAAGGCACTGTCACGTGTCCTTCATGGATAAAGCTACACCATAGTGCATTTTGCAAGTTCAGTGAATGTTTTTTTAGCCATTTCAAACATTTTTAAGTATGATTATAATCAGTAGTGAAATCAGTACTGATGTTTTTTCAATGTTATTATGTGCACTAGTATTACTATTATTAGAATCCAGCTGTTAGCTTAGCCACATGCTAATATTTGAATATTGGAATCAACTGTAAGAGTCCCTCGTGTGCTTCATGAGAGGATCAGGATTATGTGGCACATTTGAATGATAATTAACAGTTACAGAAGATGAGGAAACTTTAGATTAGTCATGATGGTAATATATATGTAGATGGAAAACTATAAGTGGTGCAGAAATTAAACACTTTACCTATAAACCTGTTTAATATTGTTCTGCTAAGTGCAAAATAGCATCTTAACATTAAACAAGGTAAATAAATGCTATATCTTACATGAGATCCTTGAACATGTGTGCAGGTATGTCATCACAAACCCACCTTATGAGTTTGAGCTGGTGCCCACGGACCTGATCTTCTGTCTGATGCAGTTTGACCACAATGCGGGCCAGTCCCGAGCGAGCCTGTCCCACTCCTCCCATTCCTCTCATTCATCCAGCAAGAAGAGCTCGTCTGTTCACTCCATCCCCGCCACGAACCGGCAGAACCGCAGCAGCAAAGCACGTGAAGCCCGTGACAAACAGAAGTAAGTTGGCCTTATTTCTCTCTTTAACCCAGCAGAGTGAGTGTATGTGTGTGTTTGTTCACTTCTGTGGGTTTAGCACGCCTTGTACAGAAAGGATGCGGTGTGTGTGTGTTTGTACTCAGCGTTCCATGTTCTGTTTGTGAGTTTGCTTCATTGTTATGTGCATGTGGCCCTTGCCTTGACCACACATAGAACTTTGACCATTTGATCATTGCTTATCATTTGCTCACCGTAACCAGGAACATGTCTGCATATCGCTGTTGCATTTCTACAAACACAATCAACCTGTGAGCTTTTGAAAATAAACTAGAGGTCTGCATTTCAAAAAGTATGCACCAGTTTAGATTTGTTACAGCACAGGATTAAATTTGGAATTTGAAATGTATGAATTAATAATAACACTATGAAATTTGCAGGTCCCATGCAGACCTCTAGAACTGTTTATTTAATATTTATTATTAAGCTTAATAATGTTCCGGAAATAGAGGCAGAATTTTCCATCAGCATTTGTGTATAGGTAATAGATCATTTTGGTCGTTATTCCACATATAAGAGTAAGGAAACGGCATTAATTAATTTCTTGCCTTCCTGTTTGTCCAATCATTATGTCTGTGTGTGTGAGAACTGCAAATTGCATCATCATGTTTTTAGTCTGTGTTAGTGGCTTATTTTTATTTATGCTCTAGTGATTTTTTTTTTATGTTCCATGTAGGGTTTAGAGACATTATCATAGCATAAATGGTTTCACACCATCCACATGCCTTGCAGGTGCAGAAACTCCTATGGTGTGTATTTTTGTAGAAGCTTTGGATAATTTAAGTGTGGATCTTTTCAAATTTCCAGCTTTGAAACCTTTATCATCTACATATACAGTCTTCATGAAGCTGCTGTTGTTGAGACTTATCTCTCACCAGAATGGAGGTGCTGCAAGGTATTATGGGATGTTGTAAAACCCTGCATTGATTTCAGTGCCTGTTACAATACGTGCCTAAAAGTTGTAATTCAAAAAGTTAGAGTTTGTAATAGAGCCCGACCGATATGGGTTTTTTGAGGGCCGATACCGATATTAGGGAGTTAAAAAAAAGGTCGATATCGATATACCGGCCGATATTCTTTATGTGTGGGCTATATTATAGTACAGTACCAGTCAAAAGTTTGGACACTTTCCCATTCGTGTGTCCAAACTTTTGACTGGTACTATATATAGAATGCAGTCTATACATAAAAAGAATATATATACACATAAACACAGTTTTTGCAATGATTAGGGATGTAACGATTCACTCATGATTCAAATCACGATTTTGATTTCACGATTCGATTTTCTCAATTTTTTTTAAACAAAATGAGATTGAAGACATTATACCGTAAATGAAAAGGTGTCGTATCATTAGGCTATTGCTGCACGTTTCTTAGTGAAATTGATATATAACAAAACTAAATTGAAATTTTTAAACAAACCCCAAATCAAACAAGTTACACAAATAAAATAAATCTCTTAATATGAACAATCTAAGGCTTTGTCTGTGCTCTTTCCATTTAAAATTAGAGGCAACCATTGGATTTTAATCATGATCCAAACAAAGATGCGGCATACATGTAGCATGAGTAGTTTTTAATCTAAATTAGACTGTATAATTTCGAAATTTGAAGCAAAAACAGAATGGTCTGACTTTAGTTTTGTGAAACTATATTACATAAAACATCTGCAAGAAACAAATACAGCAGACGGGCTGAAAGAGACGCAGATTCACTCTCTGACAGCAGGTGGTGCTTATGAACAACAATGATAGTGTTTCCTGGGTTACCGCTGTAAACAAAGCAGCGCTGCGCTTATGAACGCTGCTTTAATATGCATTATACAGAGGCAAGATACCAAGAAAATACCATGTAAACTTTTCTAAAGATAGTCAGTTCTCCTCAGAGATAAATTCATATAAACTCCTACTCCAATTGTATCGCGATTTGTTTGTCATATCAACCGATTTGAATCGTCACATATTTTAATCGATTTTCAACCGACTCACGGTTAATCGTTACATCCCTAGTAATGATCACTCAAATGTGGTGATGAAACACTTATAATGACGTGACAAAGATATGTAATGGAGGCAGGGTATTTAACAATTTAACAGTACACTTTATTATCCAATAGGAGTCTGACATCAGTGCACTGAACAGTAAAGTTAAAGTTTATTCAACTTTATTTCCATTCAACTTTATTCCGTTGAAGTTTATTTCACTTCGGAACATTAATTCATGGATTTGCACTACGCCTCTGTCTTCACACACAGACGAAACTTACTAGAGTAGTGTGAAGTGTGACATAATATACCTCTGTAAATAAATACTATTTAAATTCACGTCTTGCGCACTTTAATGCCCTTTGAATATAAACATGTACGCTCCCTTCAAACTGTAATCATGGCAGAATATCCTGTGATGTCCACTTCGCAGGGCATTTACGGTCGAATAGAACAAACCTCTGAAGTGATGAGAAACATACAAAATGTGCAAAGCGGGGGGTCACGAGGGCCAGGATTAAGAACCACTGCTTAATAGCATTACGTCTCACCAACCTAGCGCTAACTCACCATTCAACAGGCTCGAGCCGCAAATTAGTTAGCAACTTACCATTAAGACACCGCTTGAATGCTGCTGCCTGAACAAGAGACCTCCTTACTGAAGTGAAAGAGTTGGCTGGTGTCACTATCTCGCGAACGCGGCGGAGGATCCGCACCAAATTCGGAGGATCCCTTCAGCTCGAGGAGCCCTCCTGAACGCCGCCCACCGGGATCGCCAGATCGGTCGGCCCCGACCGGACTCCGGGGGCTATCGACGCGGGGGTGGTCTCATTCGAAAGGGGGCCTACGTACACTCGATTTAGCATTCGAGAGGGCTCCTCGAGCTGAAGGGATCCCCCGAATTTGGTGCGGATCCGCCGCGCCGTTACGGAGATATGGCCATTCAAATTTTCAATGGTATTCCATACACTTAAGCTTTTAAAGCATTTCATCCAGATCGCCAGTAGCAAAAAATGGAGCGCACTCTGCTGGACAAACTACATAATTACACCATTTACAAGCATTTTATCTGCGTTTTGTTATGTAAAAAAAAATTTCATATCGGTGGCATATACGCCGATACCAATATATCTGCGACAGGCTCATAACGGCCGATAAAATAGGCAAAACGATATATCGGTCGGGCTCTGGCTTGTAAGATGTTCCCCCTTAGAGATTAGGTTACATTAGTTAATAAGTGATCTATTTTTCCAGATTTAAGAAGCACATTGTCTTTTTCAAGAGTTTTACAATACAAATTTATTTTTTATTGGATAAAATTAAATGGTCAGATCCATCATAATCTTTAATATTAAATGAGCTAAATAGTTTGTAGTCTTAAATCCTGAATTAGTATTAGTAACATTTTATTTAGATTTTTATAAGAATCATTTCTCATTAGTGTAAAATAAAGATGGTTATGATTTTTAATTCACAATATATTAACCAGACTAAAAATGTAGCGATATGATGTCAGTTATTCTGTTTGAGACCTGTTACTTGCCTTAAACACTGTAAAACTTACATAGACCACTTTTTTTTCTAAAGTGCAACAAGGATGAATAGAATGGGCCCAGGTATGCAAGTTAATGATTCTGCATGATACAGCACCTGTTGTGGGATCTTTTAATCATAACTTTGTCCTTTGTGGAGCACTGTTATGAGAGGGGATTTTGATTTTACTTTCCAGTGAAATCATGCCTACTTTTCACCTTTGCTTTCTAACTGAAAGCAAATGGCTGCTGCTACTGCCTAACTCTTGTCATGCGCAGGACCATCCCAGCATTGCATGCGGTTGACTATCATCCTCTCTCTACCTCCGTCCGATAGGTTCCAGTGATCTCTCTCAGTAGTCCCCCTCGACTTGTTTGAGTTCCTCTTGTTCATTTACCTCTCATTAGGTTTTTCTTTCTTTAAGACAAACTGCATTGTGTGAGAGGTCAGTGTGTCTGCACATTGTTCCTACATGTAGGTTATCAAAATGTATTTGTTTCGCTTAATTCAATTCTAATAAGGCATTTGGAAAATAATAAAATCTGATTCAGGGAGGTGTTTTCAAAGCCATTCAATCCAATTCTATAATGTTATATTATTCTAGAATATAATTAATAAAAATCTGAAATTTAAAAAAATACATTTAAAATAATTTTGTTTACCATGTTAATTATTTATTATTACAATTTATTACATTTCACATTTAAATAAAAACAATTGCAATGCAGAAACATTTATTTTATACAATATTTGTTCAAATTTTAAGAAAACTGCGTTTCAGTGCTTATTTTTTATTTGTGAAATAGTTTGTTAAAAATTGTATTAAAATTATTAAATAAATATAGAATTCAAATGGGGAACTACCACGTATGTCAGTCTCCAGCCTGGCCAGTATCGCTAATTATTAATGATGCATTGGTGGCTTTTGTCATATTTGCCACTTTGCGTTGTGCCTAAAAACATCTTTTAATTAAAGAAAGATTACGACCGCTCATGGCTTACAGCTGCATTAATCCAAAACAATGTAGATTCGATCCGTTAAAAGTTCCCCACTCAAACCAGGCATAAGTGGTTTCACGTTCCGCACTCAGCTGAAATTCACCTCAAATATCTGTGTGAGAGAGGGGAGCCATGATGAGAGTCCCTGTGCTGCTGGAATTGGCTCTTTTAACCCTTGCAGAGCCAGAGGATGTCTCGGGGCAATGTAAGTGCCAGCATCAGTAGTAAACTCAGGGGAAGGGAGCGAGGTGGCTGACTCCTTGCACCACCTCAGGCACAGCTCCACTTACATCAAACGACTGTGCCGTGACACTCTCCCCCCACGGCTCGTCGCAGCCTGACACTCCAAGGTGTGCAGCACATTTCAAGTTGGAGGAATAGTTGGAAATGTTGGAGTGCTGGAAAATGACACTGCCTAGGAGAAAGTGAATGTGATGAGGACGGATGCCAGCCCTACGCATAGCTTAAGTCCTCATAGGATACTTTTCCGAATAAAACACCTGATTTCAGAGACCCGATCGTGTGATAACGTGCTCAAATACACAGCATGATACAATCATTTCTATTTGGCTATAGTACGCCCTTGTTTGAAGGCTGTAAATGCTTTTACATTCCGTGCTGCCTCATGAAATCAGTAATAGGTCCAACAATGTGTTTCACTCTGTGTCCTGAATGTACTCTATAGAGAGAGAAAGAGAGTGTGGGAGTTTTTTATTATAATTTTTTTATAGAGATGCATGATCCTGCTTTAAAGATCTGATATTAACGCTATGTTTCTCGTCTTCTGCTTCTCTCCTGCCCGGCGGTCTCACAGAAAAGAGATGGTTTACAGATGAAGCAGAAAACGCATACCCAAGGAACATTCAAATCAAGCCCATGAGCACTCACATGGCCAACCAAGTCAATCAGTACAAATCCACTAGCAGTCTGATTCCACCTATCCGAGAAGTCGAAGATGAATGCTGAACGAATCCCCGGCCTTTACCGTTATGGAGGGACTTGGGTCATCCTGCTGTAAAAGATGAGCACTAATCGCGAAACCATGACTGAGATGATGGCGACACATTGTTCTTCCCTTGTTCAACTCGAGGGTTTGAAGCGATTGAGAACTGGAAGGGACTTCCTATGTCTATACCTTTAATGTTACTTCCATACATTTATATATGTATACATAATGACAATCAAGTAAGGATTGTACAGCCCCTAACACTTTTTAAAATTACGTTAACGGCAAACAAAAAAGAAAAAAAAAGTACTTCCTGTGATTCATTGCAATATTTCACCTCTGCCGTGACCTGACTCCACGCAGAGGGTGCTATAATGGAGGATGAGGGTCACCGTCGTTCACATCATCCAAACACTACCCAAAGATCAGCCCTGCCGATTGAGTTACGTATCTGTCGTCCGTTTCGTTTTGCACTACCGCGTAATCACTCGAGCACCGCTCACAGAAGAGTCAAAGCTTTCCCTCGGTTCTCCTGAGTTTGAGGCTGTTAACTGAATGGTTTTGTTCAGGGAAACGAGTGTTTGCGTGACTGTATTCATGCATGGTGTGTGCTGAAGGCTGCCTGAAGTAACCTGAACTTATAGCTCTGGAAAGGATGCCCATTTCCATCTCTACAGACTGTTTAGGCACACATACACATGGAAATGTTTGTTGTACCTAATGCAAATGACCGTCCCCAACGTACCTCTTCGGAATTGGCAATACATTGAGGATATGCACTACGCCTGTTGATGTCTTTCCATCATCTATGACTGCTGGTGTGGGAAACTGTCTGTGATGGAGGATTATAACATGTTTGTTTGCATGTCTGCTATTAATGTGACTGACTGAAACACTACTGTAACCTGCTGATAATTCAACAATGATTGAGCTTTAACGCTGAGAAAATAAAATATATATACGGTTGAAAATGCCACATATTGCAAAAAGTGGGCATTATTGGTTCCTCCTTTGGGTGTAGCCACTGCCTGACACAGGGTTGGCACAGGGGCGGAAAAGTGCTTGGATGTTCCCTGTGACCAACCGTGATGCCTTATACTCTAGAGCAAATACATAAGCTCAATCATAATGTTCAATTATCAGCCAAAGATGTAACTTGTGGATGACTCTTGCTGTGGACTGAATGGATTTGAACGTCACTCACTTCTATCAAGGCTACACGACTATGTTGTACCTTGAAGTAGAACGTATATTGATACAAATGTTTCACAGACCTTTGAACATTGCTTCAAGTGCTCTGTCAGATTTATACATAAGTACATACTTATTTTTTATCCATGAGCGTAATCATTTTGTACTTATTTTTATACATATCAGAGAACTTTATTTCTAAATGTATCTTAAAGATATCTTAATAGCAAATCACGTAACATCAACCGGGAACCGTCAAAGATTTGTGAACCCGAGTCCAAAAGGTACCATTTCAGCTTGCCATCTGCAGTGCTCTTTGATACTTACACGGGCTGCTTTGAAGGACCTCGAGCTCTACTACTAAAACAAACGTATATGCTTTCATTTTCATAAGCTAACGGAGGTGAAAACCAATATTGAATGACTGATGACACGATGTTGATCCTCAGACAGCCATGAACTCAGAGATGCACATGAGGAGGGACTCTGCTCTTTCTGTAATGAGGGTAGAGTCATAGTAATATTAGCGATGTTTGACCTAAATTAGGTCTTGGTAAAGGCGTGCTGAAGTAGCAGTGAACTAATAGCTTGTAGATGCAAGAAAAGAGACATTAGCGCTCGTTCATCCGTTGAGCAAAAGAATATAAATCTGTTGTATAAATTCTGCCCGTTCTAGTCCACGTTTACTTTCTCAAGTAAAAGGAGCTCAGCTTTATTGTTTATCTACTGGACAATTAGGCTTTGTCCTGAAGTGATTTTCTGAATTGTGATTACATTGGTGTTACACTTTGTAGCAAGTAGATTTCTTAATAAATGAAGGAAAAAAAGAATACAAATGTGAGTAAACTATGTATAATTGGATTGTCTACATACTTGCTAGCCTGAAAAAAAAAAGTTTTTGAGCTAAAAAGAATCCATTGGTGTTAAATGTCCAATTGATTTATTTATTTTCTTCTATGTAAGGTCTTTTTCCTATAACGAACTACATTACAAAGAAAGGCTGATGGCGCAGTCAAGACAGCAGGTTTCATTTGATGAGAAAAGTGTAGATGCATGTTGAAGGAAGCAGAAAGCAAACTAGCTCTTTCTTTTTGAGGATTATTAACCATCAGGTTTTTACATTCCATTTTGTCATCAGCATTTCAATGTTACTATCACAACTAGTTTGAAAATGTCAAAATCGGTTGTTTGCTTACAGATCTTTTCTTTCTTTTTCAAAACACATACTCAGGTAGCGATCCTGATGACAAAACTACAAAGTAAAGCTGGCTTACTTTTTTTTTTTGTTACCTTTCGTAGCCCTAATGACAGTTTGAGGTGATACTGATATTTCTTTTCCACTGCAACAAATGTGCAATTTTTAGTATCAAGCGATTTATTTGTACATCTTGTGAAGAAACTACAGTGTACACATATCAGAGTTTCTACAGTGCCATGAAATGTGTCCATCTGCCAGCATCAGTCAGTCATTGGTCAGTAATACTGGATGAATATCATGGCATCTAATACTGGCATGGAGAACATCCAAGCCATCCTTGTCTCCATGCCAGGACAGAGCCAGGCAGTGCAGGAAGACCAAAGGAGGAACGCCGTAAGACCCACTAGAGCGAAAAGTGGCATTCAAATGGGCATACAACACTTCTGCCTATGCAAGCTGCTGAAATCCTAGCACCTTGGTTATAGATACTGAACAAGTCAAAAAAGGGGACAGTAATGACTGAAAGATGCTGGGTAGAACTGACTATGATGTTTAGTTGGATCACCTGTCAATGTATTCAAGAGTGTTTCATTAAAGTAACATAAAGCAACCTTACTGATGTGCTATGTAATACACAACTATCATATTTTGGCTATTTTATTCTACTGTAAAGGACATATTTAAGTTTTAGAAACTGTATAAAGAAAATGCACTGTAACAGAATAAATACTTGGAGGGAATCAAGTCTTAACATGCTGAACTTGAATATGGATTACAGTTTTGTTGTTGTCTTTTCTTCCACTTCAATAAATAATCAAAACATCCATCCATACATGTAATTATTGGCATATTCACTACAGGAAATTGGGGTTTCTCATAGCAGAATGACTGATTTGACTACCAGACGTGAAGAAATTGATGGTGCTGAGCTGATCTACCTATCTCTGTCAAATAAAACCTGCTGATAAAACATAGTGTCTTGTACAAAACGTTTGTACATAAATTGTACATGGTTTCTTTTTGTATTTTCTCAAATTAAAATGGATGTATTTGTGTTCTACAGGTGACTGGTATATTGCGTCATTACTTGATTTACACCGGACATTTGAACCAAAACAGTTTTTCATTAAAAACACACATTTGGAGGAGGAAACAGGATGTGCTGGACGCGGGGAACACACCACTTCCAAACATCTGCTAATATTTAAAGAGGCACGTTTAATGACAAATAACCCCTCTCACATTTGAATTATTCCACATATTGTCTACTTAAGAATGTGTAGATTTCAATAGCAAGTCATTTTATATCTACACTTTTCACTGTGCGCCTCTCAACCTATGATTACAGCACTCCCCGGTTTCAGTCTCTAAAAATGATGACTGTGATTAAACCTTGTTCTATAGAAAGATATCAGCCTGGTCTTACGTGGCTTGTTCTTTTCAAAACTAAAGATCTGAGCTCGACCTTCCAAAACCGAAATAAAAAGAGGAAGAAGTAGAACAGATGTCAGCTGCGCTCTTGATTTGTAGGCTGATAAGGGTGGCACCCTGTAGGTTTAAATTGATGGCTTGTTAGTAAGGACTGGCCCCTTTGTGAGATGTTTTCAAAATGATTGATTTACAATAAAGTGGCTCTCTGTGTGTGCACGCAGGCTGAACTGATTCAGATCGATTCCAGTGAAATTGATTGATCAGCCATTTAACTTGCAAACCCTCATCTCTGCCGAGACAAAGCACTCTTGTTTTCAGCCTACAAATCATCCCACCATGGACACTTCATGCTGTCCTTTGGATAATTGTGGATGAAAACAGCCCCCTACATTCTCACCTTGGGATGTAGTGGCCCCATCATGCTGCTTATTAACGATTTTACACGGTGAGTCGCGGCTCCAGGCCTGTCAGTACGCCAGTAATATTTACCGTCTGACACATGGGCTGTAGGGGGCAGTATGTTTACTGAACGAAACCATGCAAGACCTATTCTCCCAGTCTCTAGCAAAAAAGCAGAAACAAGCCACACATCACAACAAAAACAACCACGTCTACACTACTTCTACTGCTTCAGATTCTGTTCATATAAAATATATTTGTAAATGGCAATAAAATAATCAATCCCACTTTATATTGTCTTTAAACTACAAAAAAAAAATAGTTTGGTACACTGAAAAACCGCAAGTAAAACATTGAATTAAATGTGAAATTTTGAAGTAGAAAAACTGAGTTTTTTTTTTCTTGTAAAACA